GATCGGCTTTTCTCGCCCGTTTCCCACGCCTTAAAGGGCGACGAGAATGTGTACGTGTGTGTGTGTGGGGGGTGGGGGGTGGGGCTCGCGCATGAATGTAGTTACTTGAGCTCGGCAGCAATAGCGCCCAGGGTGCACAACCTGTCGCTTGGGTGTCTTGTACAGTTAAACGAGCTGATCGTTCTTCCGACTTTCCGGGAAAATCTCGGTTCCGCCTGCCCATTTTCCCCGCTTACTTTCTAATTCGTGTGGGAGCGAAAAGGCCCTGGGAAATCATTGGCGGCCCTCCTCTTTAAAAAGCGCTCAGTCACTCAGCAAGGAAGGAGCCTCGGATGTGAGCGCGGAGGTACCAAACGCGCGCCTCTCGCGGGCAGAGGTCTGGGACTGAGTGGGCGCAATGAAGGCGATCCGGGTTACAAAGAGGGGAAAGGGGCGCCCGGTTGTGCCTCCGCGGCCAGGCAACTAAAGGGCGCAATCTTCTTTGGGGAAGGAAACGTGTAAAATCGAAAGAAAATTGGAGGATGGGTTGGTGTATAGGGAAGGTGTAGCAAGCTAGTTTTTTTTTTTTAAACCTCAAATTTAAAAGCGATCCACGTTCCAGTGCTACGAATAGGTTACACGTGGAGTACGTCGGCTCTGGTGCCTTGGGACCCTCTGAGCAGTAGAGTACAAATTGACAGTTTCGCGAACATCTGTGTGGGACAAGTGAGGGCACTTAAACACACTTCAGGACTGGCTCGACGGGGAAAAAGGAGACGAAAGGAGCGAGCGAGACCCCGAGTAAGGTAGTCAAATACGCAAATAAAGAAGAATCCATTGGAAGTCTCCAGGTGTCCTTTCGCGCCTTTCTTTTCAGCCAGGCGAGGTTCCTAAGGGTATAAATGGGAAGGCAAGAAAGAGAGAGAAAAGCGCGTCTTATGAGGTCGCGCCGTCTCTGAAGAAGTCTTAGCTTTTCCATTCAACCACCCTTTTGGGAGCTGGGAAGTTTGTGCGGCCAGCTGAGCCTATTCCGGGCTGAGAAAATGAGCGAGCGAGGCAACGATTGAGCAACCAAGCAGCTCTTCACCCGGGCTTCCCTAACCTAGCCCACTCCTGATGAGCGGAGTTGACTAGACAGGCTCCTGTCTCTCGCCTCCGTTACTAATTTCACTGGCCGCAAAGGACGTCCGTTTGGAAAAGAGGCAGCAGGTTTTCACCTGCTGCCCGTAACTCAGAGCTTCGGGTCTGGCCTTGGAACGGAAAAGGCGAGCATGAAAGAACGAATTCCCATGAGTTTTCTCCGTTGTCTTTAAATGAAGTCAATTAAAAAATTCTGCCCAGTATTTGTGGGGTCAACATGGCAAGCTATCAAGAGATGTCCATCACCGGAGTTCCGTGTATACTTTCCATATAGCATTATTTGTCAGCGAGTTAGCCTACAGGGTGAGCCAAGCCATGGTTATATGTATTTCATAGCTTTATGTGACTTGTGAACCATTCATCTGAGATGAAACTCAATGATCAACAAAAGAATGTGACATTACAATGTGTTTTCATGGGTCTGAGGTCACTTGCTGCATCAGAGACCTTTCATTCAGCTCTTGGTCTATCCAATGGCTACAGAATCTTAGTTGCCAATGTTGCCCTGAGCTGGCTAATTAAATGTACTGTGAAGGACATATTTTGAAACACACAGTCAAATAAGCAGTGGTGTATATTTCATAACATGCTTCCTAGGACACAGACATCTATACTTCCACCAAGAATATGCCAATGACTGCTCAAGGCTGAATTGATTATATAAATCAGGAAAGGAAGGGAAGTGTAATAACGCTTATACATTGTGGCTTGATGTTAATAAGGAGAAAATTGTTATTTTCTGAAACAAGGGATTGACAAGATTGTTTAAAACATGGTCTAACATCACAGGAAACTTTTGGTGCAAACTGCAAAATGAGGAAAGTGCTAAAGGTTTCATCATCCGGTATGGTAGTCTCACATAATTTTAACACACAACTCCCCTTGCCTCCCCACCCCAATTTGGAGCCCATTGTTTGCAGTGAAGGTTTCAGGGCGAGGTTTTATTGTGAAGTCACAATAGATGCTTTCAGAGTAAATTTAGTACTACCATGAAAGGCAACCTAAGGAGTGCCACATTTATCTCTTTAGTTTTGGCAAAACATACAAGAAAATGGTGGAATAATTTGGAAAATCTATAAATGGAAGGTAACACAAAGGGGACACTCCCATAACACGTATGATAAAGAACCTTCATGGAAACCAAATATTAACTTGGTTCCAAGTCATTTTTCTCTAAACCTGTGGTGTTTTCCTGGGAGTATGCAGTGGAGAGGGAGAGAAGGGGGAGAGGGACAAACAAATGTACCAGAGTTGTGAGTTGTGAAATGTGCTTAGTAGGGCAAAAACAGATTTCTGTAGGAGTTTCCAGAGAAAGCTTTTACTGTGCCTCAGTCCTTGTTTTTATGGGCACCTAGACATTTAGTTAAAAACCTTGTTTTTTCTCATTGGTTCTTTATCGTTTCTTTCTTTTGACATAAAATCCTTAAGGAAGAAAAGATGAAATTGGTACAGTTTTGTTTGACTGATTATGGTAGGTACTTGACTTGGCTGACAGCACCCTACAGTCCATTTTGCACAAGAGTGTTATGTTTTTAAAATATGCATTGTAACTTGTACTCCAAAGCTGATTGGCTTTGCCTACCTCGTCTTTAAGAGATTTTTGTTTTCAACACTGATCATTTTCCTCCCAAGAGGATGCAGATGCTAAAGAGCTTTGAATTTAGCATCAAATGTTTCCATGTAGCAAGTTCACCAAACTATCTGCACATTCCTTTGTCCTGAAGCATTTAAAATTGTGTGGTTGGAGAATGGAAATGGATGAAGAATTATCACCATTACTTTTCAACCTATGGAAACATTGCTACATTTTTCTAGGTTGCTTTCCTACATGTGACACAAATCAAAACTATTTTTAGTCTACTTCTAGATTGCTTTTTAAAATATGTAATTAAATTTAACCAATTTCTTTGGATTAATCTTTGTTGAAATGACTATTTTGCCATATGTTAGAATATCCAGATGTGATATGACTTTTATTTAGAAATAAATTCCAAAATAAATTTTATAAAAGTCTGAGAGAATGAAGTCCACCCTGACAGCACTGTATATTTGAAAACAACATAAAATGTAACATTGCACAAAGGTATTAATAACATAACATTGATAGTACATCATACTTTGAGGAAAAATGAATAGGAATTTGCTATAAACATAGTAAAATGACTAGGTATCACAAACATAGCTAGATTACAGATTGCTGTACAAAAGTTGTTATAAATACTCCACGTCTAGAAAAAATAACACTCCACCTTTGAAATAGACATTTCCCTCACATATAAACAGTCTTTGTAGGAAAAAAACTTCACAAATTTCTTTGCTAGCACCATTTTTTCCTTATTACAAAAATTTAACATGTAAATTACAAATCTAAATGGCCTTTTCTCCATGATTCTGAAATAACATTAAGATAAAATATGAAAACATGTTAAATCAGCATAAGATATAACAATGGTAGAAGACTATAGATGGAGCATCTTTTGGAAATGTTTGAATTCAGAAAAAAAAACTTGGTTTAAAACAGCATTTTTATGTTGTAGAGTGTAATCCAAGTGGTTTTAATGTAGTTTGGCAAGTTCAATTTTGGCAAACAAAGCAATTCAGCTGCATCAATATTTTAAGACTAGAATGCTTATAAAACTTTATTTTATAAATATGATCACTAATTTTGTTAATATTAAGACCAGTATTTAAAGTTAGTAATGTGCCATTTCAGAAGCATGGCACAAATTAGTGTTTATTGCTATCATGTTTTTCTACAAATATATTTTTATTTGTCAAAGAATATTTTTACAACTTCTGTACAATTATTCATGAAAGTGCAAATTAAGACTTTAAAAGTTATAACTGTTACAGGTATTGTGTTTTCTTTCTTTTCACAAGGATGCAGTCTCCTCTCTTCATTGTATGATCACACCAGGATAGATGCTATGATGAGTCTTATCAACTCTCAATATATTTACTGATCTTTTTTAGTTCTTCCGTTAAGTGCTTCATTGCTGTAGAATATCTTTAAACATTGTATGAGCTTGCACTGGATGAGAAGCTATCATATAAAGAAACTCTCAAAGGTTCTGTATGTTCTCTATCTCAAGAACTATTTAGAGACATTTCTTCATTATTTCCATTTTCTTCTTGTCCTTCAACCTTGTTTGTACTGTTGTCCCCCCTACCCAACAAAATGTATCAGTTGCTATTAAATTTAATGAGAGTTCAAAGAAAACTTTAGACATCCTTTTTTTTGGAGACTCTTTTTTTTTCATTTCCTCAGGTTGCTTCAATTTCTGTAACAATTTAAGAACAGGAGAATAAGAATTAGAAACACAATCCTTACAAAAACAAATAAAATTGGTAACCATACTATAAATGGTCAATTACTGGCTACCTAACATTCATAGTAAGAAAAGAAATAGATTGTCAAATACTTTTGGGCTTAATCCTCTATTATAATTAAATGCAATAATAAAGTCAATTTTGGGATAAATCATAGCTTTAATGATTCAGCTCAGACAACCAGGACTCAATTTGCAAAACACCATTTACATTTTAAGTAGCTGATTCTGGAATCTGTATGTGTAAAGTATGTTTGAAGTTTTCAGAGTAATTTACATTTCCATTCTTTAGCAATTATTTTTAAGGACATCTTTGCCAAGAAAGCTAAATATTTATCTTTCGTGAACTTCATTACATATGAATTTACAGATAGAAATTTTGGATAAGACCGATAGGTTAAGCCTTTCTAATATCATTGAAACATTTGAGTATAAGACAAAAATATCAATTCAATGTTCTTAAGCATACCTAGTTTCTTTTAGTTTGTAAAATCAGATTTGAATTAAATATCCTTGCATATTGAAATGTTGCTATTATTTCTTTTACATTACAGGTTTGAAAAACTGACATTCCAAACCAGTCCATATATATATTCACAAATATACCACACTATGCAAGGGACTGTATTTCATATAAATTAAACACATTCTCTGAGCCAGAAATACTGGTCTATCAAATGTTTGTGCACAGATTGAAATATGTATCAGCTATTTCAGTGGCATGAAAGTGACCTCTATTGTCCAATTAACATAAAGAAATGTATTGTCTCTTTTAATAGCCTTTTGTATTGGGAACTTTTATACAGGAAGTCCCCAAGTTATAAACCTCTGGCTTACAAACCACTCCAAATTATGGACAGGCTACGTGCAGATAACTGATTGGCAATGAGATCTGACCAAAATGGCAAACAGTGCTTTCCCCCAGCAAACAGAAGAATCACTGAAGTTGCATCATGAAGTAGTGTGTGCATTTTTAGTATATTGTGCAACCTGTTTCAGTGGTTTATGAAAGGACTGTGTGGGTTCAGTGGTTCCTTGGCTTGCAGAAGAACAGTATCGTCCATTTTCAGTCACATTGAACTCCCATTTTTCTCTGCTACATAGCAAGACAAACATTTGACAAAATAACCCATTCTACTTTACATACAAATTCACCTTGAGGACAGAATCAGGAATGGAATTAATTCTTAACCCCAGGATTTAACTGTACCTCAAATTGGGGGAAAGAAAATTCTACCGTCTTTCTTTCTCTCACACACCACATACAAATAGACAAATAGCAGATGCTAATAAAACATGGTAGAAAAACAACATCACCTTTTGCATATAAAACAAATTGATCTTTTTAAACTAAAATTATTCTCTAATAAAAGTAAAAACGGAAATTAAACTAACTGATGCAATACCCTCAGACCAGAATCAATCAGATATTAGCCACATCTGCTCTGAGAAGAGTTGCAAAAGGCACATAAAATAAGCACTAGGCAATGAATCTGCACATTATATTAAAAACACAGCAGGACTGTACAATGCCAATTTTACCTCTTCACTAGGAGATTATCAGTTATTTTAGAGAAAAGGTCTAGTAATAATGCAAACCCCTCTTTCTTTTTTCTCATATAATTTGCTCTTTTTATCTTACGTTATCATATATGATAAACCTTAATATATTAGGGAATTTAGAAATATACACACTTTTGCTATATCCATTGTTAAATGGGGTGTTCTATTCATATAATAAAGGCAACTACATTCATTTGTCATTTTCAGTATTAGTGCCAGGAAGACATGAATAGATCAATAAGCTACTGGGAGTCCAAGACTGAACACTGTTACTTTATATTTTGTTAGCAATGAAATGGCTGATTTAGGATCACCTGAGAATATAGATAATAATATACAAGTATATCAAAGAAGAAAATACATTGTAATAGAGCTGAAAGCTTAAGATCAGGTATTCAGTAATAAAAAAGATTCAGTTTTTTGCTTGACTCTATAAACAAAGATATAATGTGTTTCTTATGCCTTATATTATAGGTGACATTTTCAGATAATGTTAAATGAAGTANCTCTCAGCCGCTGCCGGGTGAAGATAACTCGCTAAAAAGCCCGGTCGCCTTTTCTTCCCACCCCCGAGTGTGAATCGCCAAGAAAGGGGCCAGGAAGGTGGCGGCGCTTGGCTGTGGCGCTCTTGCAAGCTGCCTGAAGTTGAGCCGTCTGTCTGGCGACGCGTGTCCAGAGATGAGCAAAAAGCGGGGGACTGTTCTCCGGAAAGAGGGGAGGGAGGCAACGGCCATCTGGACACCTCGAGCGTTGCCTTCACGCCTTCTCAGCAGGGGCTGTAATTAAGCACCGTTTCCAGCTTGAGAGGGAAAAAGCACATACACCAAAAAGCCTTCTTGGCCATTGCGCTTGTTGCAACAACTGTTAGGATGCGAGGCGCGCGCGCCCACCCGGCTGCCACCCATGGCTCAAACTACAGGCTGCAGCCAAGCGGCTGAGGAAGAGCCGCGGTCGTCGTCGGCGCCTCGAGGTAGCTCGGAGGGGAACGCGCGAACTTTGCCAGGTAGCCCTGCCTAGGCGGCCGCCCTCCCCGAAGAAGATCAAGTGCCAGAGGAGGGGAAACGGTGGCGAGAGGGACCAGCTGCCCGTCCCCTCACGCGCTTACCTGGCGCCAGCAACAATCCCCAGAAAGTTGTCGTCACGGCGAGGAGCCACATCCTCTTGGAGCCGTCGGAGGTGAAGGTGGCGGTGGCGTCTGCGGGCAAGCGAGTTCCGGGCGAGGAAAACGCGCGGTCTCAGCAACAGCCCGAGTCGGGCGAAGGTCGTAGAACTGCGCACCTCGGCTCGGACGGAGTGGCGCTGCTGCAGCCGCCGCTGCGGAGAGGAGCTCCGAGGGCAGCAAGCGACGCCCGAGCCCGCATCGCCAACCTGGCCGGGCTCTTTCCTTTTCCCGCTTGAGCTCCCTCCAGCGTCGCCGGAGTTAAGAGACTGAAAGTACCACGGAAGACGCCGCGCCAAGAAAAAGGAGAGCGAGGGAGCACGAGAGGGAGAGGCGCGCAACCCCCCCTCACGTAGCCCCCTCCTTTTTCGTCGGGCCACGTGACCCCTCCTCCCCCTTTTCTTCTCCCAACCCTTATTTTCTCTAGGCGGGGAGAGGAAAGAAACTTTAGGGAAAGGGGTGGGAGCCGTCACGCTCCGGCACAGACGACGTTGCGGCTCGAGACGTCTAGTCGGAGCAGCCTTGGAGGAGGAACCTGAGCGATCTTCCCGTGGATTTTTCCCGCCGCTGAATTTCCACCTTGCCCGCAAAGCCTTTGCTACCCTTTGGATTAGGCGTATGAGAAGAGGCTAATTTAACAGGCAGCGACCCGCAGAAGAGCACCAATAAAGTCTCTTTCGCCTTCTGGCGATATATCATGGATGCACCTTATTGACAGTATGAAAGTGGTGTCTCCCCCCCCCCCCAGTTTAGACATCCTGCCTAGGATCACTCAGAGGTCTCCCAGTCAAACGTGAGGTGGATCCAGAGCTTTAGTTTGTCAGGGACAGCAAAATCACCCAGCTGACGTTTCTTCGGCTCATTATTTTAGGGCAGTGATACTAATTTTAAAACGCCTGGTTTTAAACGCCTTTGTCATCTCAAGCCCAGCACACTCACAGACTGGCTAGGCTCGCTTTCCTTCACGCTCCTTCGCCCCTTTCTCCACCGACCTTTTCCCTTCCTTCCAGGGAGCGCATGCGCCTCCTAAGCGCCTTTAGCTTGAAAAATTGCAACAGGCGAGATCGCTCCGAGACGGTTAATTAACATTGCGCTCCACCGGCTGCTTCCGAGGGCTTTTGGCCATTAAGGCGGGCGACGATCGGCTTTTCTCGCCCGTTTCCCACGCCTTAAAGGGCGACGAGAATGTGTACGTGTGTGTGGGGGGGGGGCTCGCGCATGAATGTAGTTACTTGAGCTCGGCAGCAATAGCGCCCAGGGTGCACAACCTGTCGCTTGGGTGTCTTGTACAGTTAAACGAGCTGATCGTTCTTCCGACTTTCCGGGAAAATCTCGGTTCCGCCTGCCCATTTTCCCCGCTTACTTTCTAATTCGTGTGGGAGCGAAAAGGCCCTGGGAAATCATTGGCGGCCCTCCTCTTTAAAAAGCGCTCAGTCACTCAGCAAGGAAGGAGCCTCGGATGTGAGCGCGGAGGTACCAAACGCGCGCCTCTCGCGGGCAGAGGTCTGGGACTGAGTGGGCGCAATGAAGGCGATCCGGGTTACAAAGAGGGGAAAGGGGCGCCCGGTTGTGCCTCCGCGGCCAGGCAACTAAAGGGCGCAATCTTCTTTGGGGAAGGAAACGTGTAAAATCGAAAGAAAATTGGAGGATGGGTTGGTGTATAGGGAAGGTGTAGCAAGCTAGTTTTTTTTTTTTAAACCTCAAATTTAAAAGCGATCCACGTTCCAGTGCTACGAATAGGTTACACGTGGAGTACGTCGGCTCTGGTGCCTTGGGACCCTCTGAGCAGTAGAGTACAAATTGACAGTTTCGCGAACATCTGTGTGGGACAAGTGAGGGCACTTAAACACACTTCAGGACTGGCTCGACGGGGAAAAAGGAGACGAAAGGAGCGAGCGAGACCCCGAGTAAGGTAGTCAAATGCGCAAATAAAGAAGAATCCATTGGAAGTCTCCAGGTGTCCTTTCGCGCCTTTCTTTTCAGCCAGGCGAGGTTCCTAAGGGTATAAATGGGAAGGCAAGAAAGAGAGAGAAAAGCGCGTCTTATGAGGTCGCGCCGTCTCTGAAGAAGTCTTAGCTTTTCCATTCAACCACCCTTTTGGGAGCTGGGAAGTTTGTGCGGCCAGCTGAGCCTATTCCGGGCTGAGAAAATGAGCGAGCGAGGCAACGATTGAGCAACCAAGCAGCTCTTCACCCGGGCTTCCCTAACCTAGCCCACTCCTGATGAGCGG